CCATTGAATTCTTATTTTTATTGTTCCTTTTTTTATATGTTTTTTTTAATAAATCAGTGCTCCATGTAAACATTTTCATTTCGAAATAAAATCAAATCTATTAAAAGACTTTCATCCAGAAAATAATTGTGATGATTTATTTGTATTTACATATGCATCTTCAGTTATTTCTTTAAATGAAATGTTTTTAGTTTCTTTTTACATTTAGATTTTGACGTTTATGATAAATTAGATGAATTAATACGATACGAATATTTTCTTATTCAAGGTAACAGAAACAAATAAATATTATGAAGATAAAAGAAGCATGTCTTTTTTTTCTTCTATTATTTCGTCTTTATTCATAGAAGTTATATTAGAAAAAACAAAAACTTATCTAATATTCTCGATCAGAATGAAAAAAAAACGAAATTACCTTTTTGACGTCATCAGATAACTGGAGAAAAATATAATTTGATAAATAATTAAAAAATGTGTTTTTAGAAGAAAAACAAAATGATATTTTCATGAATTTTAAATTCGCTTATTATTGAATTTATTTTAATCTTCGGATTTGTCAATAGAATAATCTTCAATAAAATGTTTAAGTAAATAATTTTAATCTGCTTGATTCGAATAAAAATGTAACCTTACCTGTATTTGCATTTATCTATCAATCACATAATCAAAAGAGAAAAAAAACATTTTCTAACGAACACATTGGATTATCGATAATTACAAAGGAAGAAAAAGAAAGGCGTGTTTTTCTACTGATTTCGATCGAAAAAAATGTCCACCCAATCATCTGATATTCCAACAATTGAAATAAAAGATAATGAAATGAAAGATTTATTAAAATATCTTTATAAAAATGAACCATTATTAAAAGAAAATGGCGCAATAAAATTAATTCCAACATCAAATTTTAAAAATCTATTAAAAAAAACACCAATAAATATTCCATTATGTTCAACAATTCAACAAGTTAAACAAATTGATAAGGAAAATTTAATGTATTTAATAAAAACAAATTCATTGAAAAAAAATAAAGAACTTTCAAAAGAAAATAGTTTAATAAATGATGAAATGTTTTGGTTATTATTACCAAATGGATTTA